TACTTCTCAAAAAAGTAAGGCATGAGTGGTTATTTGTGAAGAGGCGTGACACTCCAAAGCAAAGTAACCGCCCAAGCATAGTGGACCGGGCTCCACCGTTTTTAACAATTCTCCCAGGCTGCAACTTCTCCTTCCTCGAACTGATATCTTCCACTGGCGGTGTCGCCCTTTTTCTTTCAACATGAATCATCCACCTCTGCAACTCAAAACCTTTGTTTCACTCCAAAAGACCAACTGAAGCGGTGCACAACTTCAGTTTCTCAAGAGTAACACCCTCAGTCAACATATCAGCAGACTCCACATAGTTTTGCACCTCCAAGCTATTTCCTGGGTCACTCTTGTCTCTTCTTACAACTCTCACTGTATGGACAACATATTGCCTCTGCTGAAAGCCTTTTTCAACAAGTTTAGCCTTGTACTTTTTACTGACATCACACTCAGTTTTCACCTGGTACACTCACTTATTCTGTAATGCCTTCTTTCCTGGTGAAAGTTATGCCAGCTCGAACTTTTATCTTGCAAGATTTCTTCATAGTTTTGTGGTTCTCCAACATCTGTCTGTGGAACAATAGGAATGGGGTCTCGGACCCACTTTCCTCCACTTCCATCACTGTCTTGCACTGTGGCCTCTGGTAGATTCATACCACATTCAAAGCCCCTGAATCCAATATCAAGTTTTCAACAGAACTATGAACTATCAGCAATAGTGCATCTTGTGATTTTTCAGATATAACATTTGCGATATTATTCTTCATCTTCCTAGGATTCCTGCAGTTCTTCTTTATGTAGTCAGCTTTGTCACAATTCCAACAGGTTGTCTGTTTACCAAACTTTGATTTTGATCTTCCTATACTTGAGTTCCTGTCATGTCATCTCCCTCTGAAATCAACATTCAATGTTGAACTCGAACCTGAGACCTCCCCAGAATCTTTCCTGCGAACTTCCTCAGTCAAAATCAAATCATGAATATCATTGTATTTCATTTTAGATTTACCTGCAGAACTGCTAACTGCTATCCTCATCGTTTCCCAACTATCTAACAATGAAACCAACAAGATAAGTGCACATATCTCATCATTAAAAACAATTTCCACAAACGACAATTGATCTGTGATGATATTGAAATCATTCAGGTGTTGAGCAACAGAAACACCTTTCGCCATCTTCAAATTGAATAATTTTTTCATCAAGTGTACCTTGTTATTCACTGATGATTTTTCATACATACATGATAAGGCTGCCATGACATCTGCAGTCGTCCTTTCCTTGACGACGATGTGTGCAACGGACCTCGAAAGGGTCAATCGAATAACCCCCAGAACTTATCGATTCAATAAATTTCATTCAGCCTCATCCATTCTTTCAGGTCTTTTCTCCAATAACGGAAGATGAAGTTTCTTCCCATAAAGATAATCCTCTATCTGCATTCTCCAATAACCAAAATCTGTGTCATCAAATTTCTCGATCCCTAAAACTCTCACTTCATCTGCAGTCATCATTCTTCCTTAGATTTGAACAAAGCTCTGATATCAGTTGTTGTTGCGAAATCTAGATATCTACCGATTGATGTGGTATATCTAGAAATCAAACAGAAGAACAATCAACGAAGCGAAAAAATAGAACGAGAAAAATTCACACCAGAAAAAAAAACACAGCGGAACACACAGATTTATGTGGTTCGGTAAATTGCCTACGTCCACGAAGTTGCAGAGATTTTTACTACTGGAGAAATTTACATCAGTCGATCACCTCAATTTACAAAAGTAAACTCTCACTCTTCGTTGCTCTCTCTTATTCTCTCTCTGTTTTTCTCTCTCTACACTGAGATACACCGAGGAAACTCTACACCGAGATACACCGAAGAAGACAAACTTACAAGAGAAATAAACCAAAATTTTCTTCTGCCACAAGCCACCAAGAAGAAGCCTAGGGAGAAGAATCTTCTTCTTCTTCCTTCTGCCACAAGGAACTGCTCATTGCACTTCTCTTCCTCTACCTCAAGGAAACCTTCATCTATCCCGAGGAAACTGAAGAAGAACTCAAAGCGTGACTTCTAAACCCAAGGAGAGCCATCCGAAGCTTTTATCACGAACAGGAAGGAGCGAAGAGATGTTTCATTTCACAAAAGAGAAAGGCAGGAGTGGTTATTGATGTAGAAATAGCCTTTCCAGAATTTACTAAGGGAAAGGACAAGCCAATCAATAACAAAGGACTGAGCATGCCCCGCACTGACTGCTTCATTTGTGGGGGTCCTGAAAAGCAGGCTTTGAGCTCACTCCTTGCTAACCATTAGGACAGACCAAAACTTGAAGATGAAGGTACAACTGCATAAGAGGGAGAAATACAATTATTAAATACAACTCACAAACTACCTCTAAGGTTGGGATGGTTGTGGACTGGTCAGCAGGTAGACGATAGCGAGTGGGGAAGCTAAGAGTTAGCCAGCATGTTAATGGAGAGGAGAGAAGCGTCAGCAGGTCTAGAAAGGTTGGGAGCGCTGCAGCAAAACTTCTGGAGAGGGGATTGGAGAGGCTGGCAACAACAGGTGGGGTGTCGGATAGACTGGGCGGAACAGCAGGAAGGTGCAGGAGCGGCTAACGGTAGCAAGGAACGTGCAAGGGTGGCAGCCGACAGCAAGACTGGTGCAGGAATGGCTGACGACAACAGCGAAGGGAGGAACAAGCAGAGATGATCACCAGCTCGGACGACTTACAGTCAGAGCACCATCTCACCCTCGGATGGGAGAAACGCCTGACACATAAACCTGAAATCAGAGACAATCAAGAACAACTCTCTAAGCAAGCAATTTTGCACATATATATAATATATGATCGTAGATAGAAATAGAAGGTAATAGAAAAGGAAAGGGGTGGAATAAGGAGGGACTAGAAAGAGAAAGGAATAGAATCGAAAAGGTGGGTGGGTGGCAGAATTGGAAAAGGAGTTCTCTCCCTTTGGCGGCAAAGCCCCCTAGACCGATCTGCTAGCCCTAGAGACTCCTTGGCTGGACCGGCTGGTCCAACCCTTCAACTGCAGTTGGGCTGCAGCAGGAAAGTCCCACGCCACTTAACAGTCCCTAGTTGACAGATTGATGGAATCAAGTGGATGGGACTACAAGACATGTGAGAGAGTTGGAAGTTCAAAGATGATCAAAGGCACTCCAAAAAAGGATCCAACATAACACTAAAAGAAGGTGTGGTGAGAGCATCACAAGCTTAGGTGGGGGAGAATGTCACACCTTGTTGGATTAACCACACTTTTTTAAGCATTCAGTGGCAAGCATGATAAAAGGAGCATATCAAAATCATCTTAAAATGGAACCATCGTGCACTAGACGGTTTTAAAAAATTCTATGCATGTCCAGACTCATTTGAAAAATACAAAAAGACTCTAAAATACTCTACACAGTTATAGAAGTCTTCAAATTTTCTAAGAATTTTAGATGTCCCTTTATTAATTTAGAATATATTAGATTCTTAGGGAATAATAGAGTATTATGCATATTTGAGTAACATGTAGAATACTCTAGAAATATATAAATTCTAAAATGAGTGGTATTATATAGAAATCTAGAAATTTCTTGGAGAAAACTCCCTGAACTAAAAATATGGATAACCTCTTTCACATGAAACCATCCTTCGAGCTCTTGTAAACTCTTTCATAAGCAATACGCATCTACTTTTTTAATCTCTCTCTCTCTCTCTCTCTCTCTCTCTCTCTCTCTCTCTCTCTCTCTCTCTCTCTCTCTCTCTCTCTCTCTCTCTCTCTCTCTCTCTCTCTCTCTCTCTCTCTCTCTCACTCGCCACTTCTAGACTTGCAAACTGTGAGAGAAGGCTGACAGAATCACACATTTGCTTACTAAAATAGTAACGGTATAACATAAGATCTCTGATTAGGTAAAAGTTACTATTTCCCTGGAACAATGTAAATTGATTCTCCATCATGTAGCTACGGGCAAAAAGCAAATTTTGATGCCATACCTTCTTATTATTTTTGCAATTTTTAACGCAAGTACTCTAAATATTTCAAGGCTCACCAATAATTAAGAAAATAAAACATTCAAATAAATGAGACACAAACCATGATCAAATTTTATCACAAACAAGATGGACATAACTCTTCTCACTTCAAATTAGGCTTCTACATAAAATTTAGAACCTACTTAATATCACGTTATGAAATCAAAGCCTATAAAACTTGCCCTTCATCTTATGTCAGCCCTTCATCTTATTCCTATTACTCAAGACATCAATGACCATGTTTTTTAGTAAAGTTTTAATTTTGATCTGAGTCTTTTAGGTATTAATAGCTCAAATGGATAGGAGGTTTCAAATCTTTTACATCGAGCACGGCAAAAATAAGAAAAACATTTACGAGCACTCCTTAATGTTCACTAGGCTTTCTACAAAGTGTTGTGAGAGTATATGCGATTTTTTTTTTTTAATGGATAATTCATTCGATGTCATATGTTAATTTTCATTTTGTTTAATTTTTTATTTTTTACTTTTCATCTCAAAAATTTTCATTATTGTAACTTAATGTAATCTTTTCAATAACTATGAATTCATGCTTTGAAAAAAACTAAGGAATGAACAATATAAAATAAATATTTTTTTAATAAGAGCAATAGAACAATCATACCTGATGGAACCAGAAAACTTGAACCACAGAAACCATCATCTTAAATTTTTTGTGTGCGCTCAAATTTACAGAAGAAAATTATCGATCATGTGAAAAATTACATCAGCACCATCAGAGTTTAAAAGCTTGGACTTCACCTACACAAAATTCTAGGAAGAGTTAATGATAAAATGTATACATCCGCCCATGCAATTATTTTCACTTCAAACCCTAAATTTTTATAACATGAATGTAGTATTGAATATATTTTTTTTATTTTGGTTTTATAGAAATTATGCATAATTGATGAAAAAAAACGCCCTGTTCTTTCTACACGCAAAGAGAATTTCACCACAATAGAGGAATTTAATAGAGAAAAAAGCTTCCATGCAACATACCTGAATAGTACTATGAGCGAAAACGCGTTGTTTACTTTTTCGAAAACTGACATCCACCCTTTCCCAAGGGACTTTATTAAGACCTTTGATCATCAGCTCTGCATTTGTTTAAGGCAAAGTTGGATTAAGAGCAAACACCAAACCTCAAATAATTTGAGTAAGTCCAATGACGATGATGATAATAGGAGAGGAGCAAAGACAGGCGATAATGATTTATTTTGCAAAATTTAAATTGATCATTACTAATGCAACAAATAATGTTTGTAAGAGAATAGCATAGCTTGTAATTGGAGAAACAAGCAGTATATTAGTAAATATAATCAAATTAATTCTCGTTTTTCTTAGCCTTTAAATGCTACAAGAATGTTTCTTCAGTGGAAATATCCAATGAAACTTAAGTACTGATAATAAGGTTTTCCATGCGTGATGAGTAAAGTGAAATCAACGCTATTGAATTTCAAAAGCCAAGGTATAATTTATTTTTAAATTGTTAATTTATAGTAATGTGTACAATTGTCTTGTATCAACATGAAGTTCAATGAATTATGATCAATATATCTTAAACATTGTCATCATCAATTAACTTTATATCAAGTGTTAAGATTTGAAATAGACCACCATAATGTACTTGATAGGAGGGGTATTTAAACCCAATTACAATAGATGGAAAGAAAAAAAAAGTAATAAAATAACTAGTAAAGAAAATAAAACAAAATATGTGACTCACAAAAAAAATACATAATCAGGGAATAAAAAAAAAATAATAATAATAATGGTGTAGGGATGGCCGTTATAACTTAATATTCCCCCTCAAGTTGAAGCATAGATGTTAGTTATGTTCAACTTGAACTTCAAGTCATCAAAAAAAGGGTGAGACAGATTCTTGGTGAGAATGTCCGCCAGTTAATCATTGGACGTCACATATGGAATGCAAATCTCCCCGGAATTGATCTTTTTCTTAACGAAGTGTCAGTCGATCTCCACATGTTCAGTATGTTCATGCAGGACTAGGTTATGAGCAATGTT